TACTCAGCCATCCTGGAAACTAGCAATATTTATTTTACCTTCAGTTTAAATGAGGTTTTTCTTTCACTTAGGGTACTTATTAGCAAGATCCATTCTGGTGTAGCTGAAGAGAAATCTATGTTTCTGTTTACTGTATTTTGCTCCCTATTTTATGTCTAATTGTTTTTTTAAAAATCTTCATAATGGCTCACTTGAGTATGTCAGTTTGAAAGCTAAGATTTTCCTACTTAGCTATTGGCTCTCCCACTAATTGGGACTTTTTAAAAAAAAATTTTTTTTTTTAAAAGCTTCCCCGTTCCCTAAAATTACAAGTTTTAGAATATCCTGTAAGAGGGGTGGGTGCATGTCTTAATGCTGAGAAGCAGCAGCTTTGGGGGTGAATTTACTTGAATGGTTTAAAAATTGCATTGTTACAAAGCTAGAAAAAATTTATGTATGAAAAATGGACCTAGCCTTACACTGAGTACAATAATACTTATAAGCATGTGAAGATGTGATCATTTGTGATGTTACTTGTAAAAACATATATACATATCTATACATATCTTTTGAAGTGTTGAAAGGAATAGTACTTTATATTCTTTATCATACCACTTTTGTAAGTGTTGAATATATTGCTGTTTATTTTTCTATGTTCTGTTTCGTAGCCTTAAGAAGTGTTTCAAACGATCTGAATGTATAAAACAAGTCAATGCCCTACATGGTGTGATGCTGCATTATATATACAACCGTGTGCATATATTAAATTCTGTCTGTCGATTCTGCTTGGGATTCTTTGGTCTTTGGGTAACCCAATATATCACATGTAAATCTGAGGATAAATCTTAGTAAACTCTTGAAAATGATGTGGTTTCCATGAATTTTTCATGCTGGAAGATAATTACAGTAGGGACAACTGAAAATGGGATTTATACCTATGGGATAAAAGGCTGTTTTCCTTACTTTTTATGCATTGCAGAACTTTGACCAAGTCATGGAGCTAGAAAGTGGTGGAATTGTACTTAACCTCAACAGAAGCGGTTTTACAGCAAATGCTCCACCATCTTTTTCGTCACACTGGAACAGGGATGCAGAATACCTAGACATTCATAGGTTAATGGTCCTCTGTAGTCTTTAGTGTTGTGCCCCCCGCCCCAGTTCAGTCTATGTTTTCTGAAGAATGAACAAATGGGAAACAAAATAAGGTTATCAGGTATACTGAAATAAAAGCTGTTTCCTTTTTGCAGACCTGAGAACTGAGGTACAGGCTGTGCATATTTTAGCCAGGCATTCTACCTCTGGATTGTATCCCTGGCCCTGAAAAACACGTTTCTTCTTAAGTGCACATTCTTCATTAAGTAATTGGCAAGAATACTGCCATGTCATTGCTTGCTGAAGTTGGGGACTTCCTCAGGAAAGTGGTTTTCTCAGAAGCAGAACCTAAAAGAATGCTTATTCAGTGCAAATCCTTGATGGAAACTGATCTAGAGTCAGATGTGTATGAGCTTGTGCATATGAATGCAGGTGCCCTTTGACACCGGTGGTTATGGATTCCCTAGAGCTGCATTTAGAAGCAGTTACAACAGCCTGACATGGGCTCTGGGAAGAATTCTACAAGGCAGGATGCAGTTCACTGTATCCCTGGCTGGCCTGTAACTTAAGATTTACCACCTTGGCCTCCTCAGTGCAGGAATTCATGGTCTGTGCCATTGTACCTGACCCAGTATGAGCTCTGTGTGGTGTGTTGTTCACACTTTAATTTAAAATTACTTTTAGTGTATTTTGGACATATTTTTCCCACTCCTCCAATTTTTGCCAGGTCCTCCCCACCTTCCTACTTACCCAATTTTTTTGTTCTTTCTCAAAAATGAAAAGAATCAAAAACTCCAATAACACAAAAATGTACATTTTGGCTAACTACTAGACATGGGGTCTGCCCTGGTATGTGGTTGATATAACCAGTCACACTCTAGGATAAAACTGATTTTTCCTTTCCCAGCAGGTTTCAATTGCAAATAGCTTCCTGGTTAGGGGTGGGACTTTGTGTCCACTTCGCCTGTCAGTGATGGGACTTTGGTTTGAACCGGTGCCTGCTGTTAGTTCCTGAGTTCGATCCTTTTGTGTCTGGAAGATTGTTTCCTTGGAGTCCACACCACTGGCTCTAAATTCATTTCTGCATAGATTGCAGAGTCTTGAGGGAAGGGTTTTTAATGACATTTCATTTAGGATGATTGAGTGCTCGCAAGTCTCACTGCACACTGACCAGTGTGGGTTTCTGTTAGTTACCATCCATTGAAAGAAGCCTGCTCTGAGGGCTTGAGTGATGCAGTGATCTGTGAGTAGAACAATATGTTATTAGGAGTTACTTTATTGCTGTTTTCCTTTAGTAGAATAATGGATGTTTCCCTCTATACCATGATCTAGTAGTATAATCTTAGTTCTTGGTTACTTTTGCAGTGCCAAGTATGAATTGGGCCTTAACTCCTAACTACAGTGTGGTTGGTGCTTTGGAGATGGCTTGGTAGGTACAGAATAGATGCTGCCAAGCCTTACCACCTGAGTTCAGTTCCAGGGACCTGCATGGTGGAAGGAAAAACAGCTCTCTACAGTGTCCTCTGACACGTGTGGTGGCACGTGTGTGCTAATGCACACACAAAATTTTTAGAGTGCTTATTCCTGTAACACTGGTGCCACTACTGCACCAGTATCTCACAGGCCCTGTTGGAGGTTGCGGTGTAATGCGGAGTACCTTTCAGCACCCTGAAAACTAATCAATAGGGGTGAAGATTCTAGTTGGGCATCAGCTCAATTTCTCCATTTGATGACATAGGTGGTTATCTTCAGCATTAGAGCCTTACTTAGGTTTTTCCTTATATGGAGAGTAACCATAGCCCTGGCAATAGCCTTGATGTTTGGGAGGGGTATCTATAGTGCCTTAAAGTTACTGACAGCTAACATGACCTTTTCCTGGCACTGGAGGTTTTACTTGGTGGCTTGTCTAGTTGGGGTTATGAGATGACTCCACTTGAATTCCTTTCACATGTGTATATTTTAGAAAGCAGCTACAATAGGTTTCCATGTGGCTTTGCATCTCTTCTGCCCCACTGTGGGGTTCCTGAGAATGAGTTGACTAAGCTCTCCAGAACTTTGAAGTGGTGAGGGAGGGGAGCATTTCTCTTCAATTTGTTTGTCAGCCCAGATTAGCAGAGAAGCCAGAGGGTGGGAAGCCAGACTTCTTTGTAGCTGGTTGCATCCCTTGCCGAACTGTTTGTTCCTGAAATGGATGAGATAAACAGCGAGATGTGAAATGTGGTCTTTAAATGTCCGTATTGGTTCTTGTGAAATTTTGTGTTGGGGATGGGTCCCTACAGAGGCCAGAAGATGGTGATAGATTGATTCCCTGAACTGCAGTTAGTTGTGAGCTCATAGTGGGTGTTGAGAACCAAACTTGGGTCTTCTGAAACAGCACTAAGTGCTCTTATGCAGGCCCTTGAGTTGTCTCACACAGGGTTTAGCCAAAGTTCTCTACCCAAAGGCTTCTTTATTAGCAATGAATGGGGCCAGTGGTCAGTTTCATAGTCTGCAGAAACAGGAGATGTACACCTGGGCATGTGGAAGGTTTGTATCCAGAAATAAGATTGCATTAAAAGTAGAAAAAGTTCAGTAAATGTGAAAATTTCCTAGTAAAACTTGGCATAGATTCCAGGTTTTTAAGAGGGGTAGGAGGAGTCACTTCAAGCTAGTATCACACAGAGGTCACCTAGCAGGAGGTAAGAGAAAGATGAATTTCGTGCTGACAAATAGCAAGTGGCTGCAGACATTGTAGTGTCTGTTGTTAGGGAAGCATGCTCAAGGCTTTCTTGGCATTCCTGTGTGGCCACAAAACTGCTCCACGTATCACATCCACAAGAAATAGTATGGATATCCTTTTAAGGAAAGCAAGTGGTTTTCCAAAAAATATTCCAGGTGACTTTAGCTCTCAGCTTGCCAACCAGAACTGTCACATGGCCTAAATGCAAGAAAGACAGGAATTGTAATTGTTTTAGATTATGATCACCAAGGCCATGTGCAAACTGGCAAGGAAGAAGGTGTTGAGGCCTGTGAAGAACGATATTGACAGAAGTTTCAGAATTTCCAGATATAGTACCAAGGAAACAAAGAGTGGTAACAGTTAATACACAGTCTAGTGCAGACTAAATAATCCGAACATTTAAAAGGAAACCTACTTATGTGTATATGCACACAGAGGCAAGGAGTTGACATCAGGATATTTATTGCTCATTTCTTTTCCAAAAACTACTGAGATGTCATGCTGGACCAAGTTCTGCTTAGCCAGCTTACTCTAGGGTTCCATTCTTTCACTCTGAGAACCCAGCAAGCCACTGTGCCCTCCTGGCTTTTTTGTGGGGATGCTGGGGATCCGAACTCGCACCTTTTATCGCACCTATCTCAGACACTTCAATTCTGCTAGAATGTAAAAACCTAATGCTCATCACTATCTATATTCACCCTTTCCTTCAAAGAACCTGTTAGTCTATCATGCTTTTGACTTGAGCTGTGTTCTTTGTATGGATTATACTTACCCTTAGACCCCAGAGAGTGTTCTTACACTATCCTGGGAGCTGTTTCCTTTACAAAGCCTTGTTAAGATTACTTCAGAACAACTGTATTCTCTTGAATGTTAAAACACACAGGGTTGTCTCTTCAAAGGGAGAGATGCACAGCCTGTTACCTGCCTAGAAGGAGTGGACATGTCTGCCTTTCAAGTGCTGGGATCAAAGTTGTGTGCTACCACCCAGCCCCTTTATATATAGGCCTTCCCATTGCTATATAAAAGTTTAATATCTGAATCTGTATTTTAACATTTCATTTCCATGAGAAATACTAGCTACACACTGTCATTAGCAACTAAATGGATGAACTTTGTTCTCTTTAGGACAATTTTAAACAGCAAACTACTGCACTATGCTCCCAAACCAACATTAAGTGCACAGCGAATGTGAAGGAATGAACACAGGTAATTTCAGAGAGTCATGAAGGGAGAAAATTTTTATTCCATATATTTCTGTATATTTCATTCTTTTACAACAGATATGTACTTACGGATTGTTCATATAAATTCATTTTTAGAAGGCCTATGGGGTCTAGTCAAAACAAATTTCCTATCGTTTACAAGTTAAGATTATTTAAAGTTCTAGGTCTTGTCAAATAATTTCTAATTTTCTTGTTCTGCCTGCCCCATCATTCACTGTAATCTACCTTCCTCATAATTCTAGTTCAGCGTATTAGTAAGGTTTGGATAATGTCCTTTATATCCACACCTACAAATGAATAAGTACTGCAGCACTGAACACTTTGTATTGCTATTTCCGGCACTCATTGGAGAAGTGGTTTCAGATTGCCCTTGGTTGCTCAACAGAAACATCTGTAGTCTAGAAAAATAGAGGGCTGGGGGTGTGGCTCAGTTGGTAGAGTGCTTGCCGAACATGTAGAGTCCTGTGTTTGATTCTCAGCACTGCATAATCCAAGCCTGGTTAGTGGGCTCAGAAGTTCAAAGTTGTCCTTGGCTACACAATGAGTTTGAGGCCAACCTGAGCTACAGGATACTCAGTCTCAAAACTAAAAACAAAACTTTAACATCCAGATACTTAGGCACCAATGATAAAGACTATATCTGTGTGTGTATGTTTATGTATATACATACCTGCTGGAGCCAGAGGTTTGCTGTAAGGTGTCATCCTCAATTGCTGTCCACCTAACTTTTTGAGACAGGATCTTTCCCTGAACACAGTACTCACAGATTCTGTTAGGCTGGCCAGCCAGTGAGCTCTAGGATCTGTCTGACATCATTTCCTAGGACCAGTATTAGAATTGTACTGTGTCTTATATCCTGGTCCTCAGTGTGCACAGCTGGCACTTGACTGACTGAACCACCTCCTCAGCTTAAGCCTACAGGTTTACAGGAAGCAAATATTATTCAGAATCCCCTCCTCCCATCTTGATCAGTGATTATATAAATTTATGTTTACAAAGTAACATTACTTTGAATGTTATAGAATCTTATAGAGTGTAAAAACCAAAAACCCAGAGATAAATTAGGGTATTGAAACAATTTTTGACAGATGTTCAAAAGCACCAAAAAACCCATTAAAAACAATGCATAAGTTGGTCATAAACATCTATCTTCCAACAATGGTGTTTGTAGCAGACAATGTTCCTTGGAAGCAGCTAAACACTGATAATATAGTGCACAGACTGAAAACAAGTAGCAAATATAATCCTGATGTTTATTTATCAGACCTTAGCAGTGTAGTCTTTGACTGGCTTTTAAATATGGCAAATTTCATTATGCTGGTACACTTAGCAAACAGGTAATACAGATTTTATCCAAGATTTTAAAGATGGGCAACACCAGCAAGCATCTAGTACATAAATATAATACACAACTGAAAATCTCCCCGCAGATCATGAGAATCTAGAGGTTAATTACATATTTGAAATGTCTCCGTTTAGCGAAGTATGCACAGAGGTTTAAGAACAGAAAAGTTCTTAAATAACAATGACAAGACAACTGGCTTTTGATGTCACATTAAGAAAACCATACTTCAAGCTCCAGAGTATGTGGGGCCATAAAACCTGATCGAAGAAGTTTTGTATGATAAAAATCCCAGTAAGTAAACGGCTTATTGATAATCTCAGATTCAATCTAATCATCCAAGAAAAAGTAGTTTCCACTCTTCTTTTGTTCTACATCCTAGGAAATAAGAGAAGTAACAAAAATCAGAACAGTGTTCCTCCTGAAGCTACAGCAATCTATGCAGTATTATTCAGAAGTGCTTCTGTCAGAGGACCTCACAGAAGCTCGAGGAAGGCCTCTCTACAGAGGATGAAATCTGTCATATACTGAAATATTCCTGGGGAAGCTTAAATTCCACCTTTAAGCTCCTGGTACAAAAGACAGAATATTGCCAGCTTAAAAATCGTTTATTATATAAGATTTTCTAAGATTTTATTAAATAGATTTTTTCAAAACTGTTTATAGAATGGTCCTTAACAATCCATTTATCTACCTGCTCAGCATCTCTCTTATTAGGATTATGCTCTATGACCATCTAAAATGACTCAGTATATAGTGCCTTCATAAGCAAGGGAGAATGTTTATTCAACTATGTCTTGAAAAGCAAAACCAAAAACTGCTTCAAAGTATTCTTAAAACTTTCTTCATTAACAAAACTCCATTATTAATCTACTTTCAGTGGCACATAGTAAGGTTTCTTAAAGTTTTATTTTATTCTTTTAGAGACAAAGTCTCACAGCTCGGGCTGTCCTGGAACTCACGGAGATCCACCTGCCTCTGCCCCCCAAGTGTAGAATTATGGGTGTGGGCCACTGCTTGTGCCAGATCTCAAGGCAGCTGCAAATGGCACACACGGGTTAGTAAATGAGAAGAGCACATACATACAGCTGTTCCCTGCAACAAGAGTACAACCATGTAGATGAGGAAAAAATAACCCAAACTGAGAACCAATAGATCTGCCATAGATTTTTAAGAAAAAAGACTTAGATTTCTAATGGCAGGAGTTAGCTCATACCTTGATTGAATTGAGCTTGTTTATTCGTGGTCTGTAGTTGTTGGGATCTCTTCTGAATGTAATCTCCAGCTGAGATAAAAATTTGTTCATGCCAGCCAAAAGAGTTTGAGGACTAGGGGAAAATGAACAATTTTCATTACATTTGGTTAAGTCCCAAGAATCACCATTACTTCTTCCTCTCAGCTATGCTTTACTGAGCCTAAGGTTACTACACATCATTTGGTTGGTCACATTTCTGTGTAAAACAAACACAATATGCTCTGTATTTCTGATGTTGAAAAAAACATTAGGACAATATTTATTGATTTTTTTTTCCCCCATAACTTTGGACAGAAAGCAGGGCTTTGTACCATGTGAGGGAAGCACTCTATACTGTGTTACTACCATGGCTCCAGAAGTATCACTTAATAAAAGTAACTTTCTATTAAAAACTTAAAAAAAAAAGATTTATGTATTTATTACTATATATATATAGTTCTAACTGCAGGCCAGGAGAGGGCAGCAAATCTCATTATAGATGATTGTGAGCCACCATGTGGTTGCTGGGAATTGAACTCAGGAACTCTGAAAAAGCAGCCAGTGCTCTTAACCTCTGAGCCATCTCTCCAGCTTCCATTAAAACTTTTTATGCTTTCGTCTTTCATACCTAAGGTAATTTTATTTTTTTAAAGGTTTATTTAGAGTTACAGACAGTTGTGAGCCATCACGTAGGTACTGGGAAATGAACATGGGTCCTCTGGAAGAGTAGCCAATGCTGTTAATCACTTGAGCCATCTCTCCAGCTCCCCAATTTTTAAATTGGCTAAATAACAACAAAAAATATGGAACAGTTTAATGCTGTCTGTAAACCCAAAAGAAAGGTCTTTATTGAAGAAATAAATTTTACATATCTAAGAAATTTCCTGAAAGGAACTTCACATGAAATCAAAGGAAATTTGGGGTGCATGGTCCTTTTTTTTCTGTGTTTTTGAGACAGGGTCTTACTAAGTAGATCTGGCTGTCTTGGAACACACTACTTAGGCCAGGCGGGCCTTGATCTCACAAAGATTCATCTGCCTCCTGCCTCCTAATGCTAGGATTAAAGAAGTGCGATACCATACCTGGCTGGCACTTCCACGGGCCCAAAATGTGTTTGTGTATCAGTAATTTCATAAGGTACAAGTTAAGGTAGATAATGGTAAAATAAGACCTCACCGACAGACCTAAACTGTGGTTTCCCTACAACATGATCAATCTAGTCAGAACACTGAAGGTAAGACAACATGCTGAAACTCTGGTGTGTCAGTGTCCTGTATGCGGCATCCACTGTAACAGTAGTGGAGTTGGACAAATCATTACTACTTTGGATACTCTGCACGAAAATTAAGTTTGTGAGGATTATCTATAAAAATACTATTTTTTTCAAGTATAAATAATCAAGTGGACAAAGGTCTAGGGCTCTGAAAGATTATCTACCTGGGTCAAGTATTCTATACTAGTCTAAAAACTACTATTCAGACCCCGTGCAGTACTGTGTAAGAATAACCTAGGGAGTTAAGAAACTGACTTACTAGTTATTACTTTCAAAGAAGCAATAGGACTTCAGTGTTTATGAGCTTAATGGAAGTTTAGAATGTGGTAAGTTTCCAATTGTTAGAAATTAAATTTTATTTCTGAACATTTTAAAAAGCATCCTTACCTGTTTGCAACTGTGTTCTTAGATGGAACACCATCAAACACGATGACGCGATCTGCTAGATAGGTGGCCATGATGAAGTCATGTTCCACAACAAAAGCTGTCTTCTTTGCATGGAGTATGAAACTGGAACACAACAATTTGCAAACCTTTCATAGCTTTTAAGTCACAAAATGAGATTCAAGTGTCTTATTAAACACATATGCATGTCAGTACACACAATCAAAAATGACATTCTATAAGTAAGACATTTACCGTTTGACGACTCGGGCTGCCATTAATCTTTGTTCAGAATCTAAATATGCAGATGGTTCATCAATTAAATAGACATCAGCAGGTTTGCCCAAACAAAGAGCTAAAGCTACCCGTTGAAGTTCACCACCAGACAATGTCTGCACCTAATTGGAGAAGTTCAGCAATACATGAGAAGACAGTCAAAGTGTGAAATGATGACGCATACAGAACTGTAAGGATGATGTTACAATACCTCTTGATCAATGATGTTTTCAATCTGTAGGGGCTTCATTACATCAGTCACAAACTGAGGATGAGTGTAAGCATCTCGGATCTTTTCATGTAGTAACTGACGAACACTTCCCTGGTTTTAGTGGAAAAAAGTATTTAAATGATAAATTACCAGGAAAGAACTTTTGTTTATGAATTTTAGTACTGAACTTGACTCAAATGATTTCAATTTGCCACCAATATACATCAGTTGTAACTTTTTTCTTCTTCTGGGACAGGGTCTCACTGTGTAGCCAACCAAGCTGCCTCCAACTCACAAGCCACCTGTTTCAGCCTCCAAGTGCTGGATTGATGGCTGGTGGGCACCACTACACCTGGCCAATTCTAGTTTTCATCCCAATTCACCATCTGGCTCATGTTTTGAGGCTTTCTACTAAACAGCACTCATGTACATATAAGTAAAAAGGCAATAATCCTAGAATTTAAAAGCAGAAAGTAAATGAGTGTTTCAGGGGAAAAATAATTAAGAGCAGGAATAATTCTAAATGTCAAAGTGGGTTTAAGTACCTTGGATAATCTGTAGGTTGTAACAAACAATGCACCACCTGATTGTTAGTTGAATCCTAAAATGGCTTTCCCTTGTTATTCAGAACAGAGCTGAGTTCGAGAACTTGAAACAGATTATGTAAAAAACACTAATGAAGGTAAACTGAAATGTGAAAGAGGGTTGGTGTTGTGGTATTGACCATACAGTGATTAAGAAGCTTAATACTTTCAGAAATCAAAGGACATTATTGCTTCAGCATAACATTTTCAAGTTTTATACTTGATATGATTTACTAGCATTTCATTTCCCTAAGGCTGAATAACCTCACACTCTAAGAATACATTATGCGTCCATCATTCAGCAGCTGACAGACATTACTTTTCCTACTTGTTTGGCTCTGATAAATACAGCTGCTACAAACACACAGGTGCAGGTCTCAGGCCCTGAGGTGTGTTCATTGCTCAGGTATCTGCAGTGGTTAGAACCGCTGGTGATAACAGGACTGGCTTCCTTAGTGGCTGGAGTTCTGCATCACCACCAGCAACACGCAGCGCCCAGTCTCTTCACACTGTCACTAATACTCGTGCGTGTCTTTCGGAAGTTTTTAGTTATCCTAGTGGCTGTAAACTGGTGTTCACCATGTTTGATCTGCATTTTCTTGACAGCTAATAATGACAAGTATCTCTCCATGTGGTTATGGGTCATCTGTATTTCTTCTTAGGGAGAATTTTTGCTTTGGGCCAAAGGCTCACATTAGGTTTGCAAAGGTTTGGGGAAAAAAAATGACAGATTTTAAAGCTACTTCCAGAGCCAGAGGTGATATCATACACCCAATGCTCCAGCACTTGGGCAGTAGGAGCAGGTGGATTAAGAATTTCAGGTATTTGTGTTATACAGTAGATTCAAGGCCAGCCTGCGGCTGTAATAGACACTAATATGGATAAGAATTTTAACATGATTGTGTGGTGGGGATTACATCAGTGCCGTAATTCATGTTAAACATATACTCTACCACTGGGCTAAAGTCCTAGCCCCTTACTAGATCAAAGACTAAAGGTATACACATATACATACATTTAATAACCAAATTAAAGTAACAACTCACTGTTGATTTGGGACTGATTTTCTGTGGCTTGTAACTGACATTCAGAACTGGTACTTCTCCTGCAAAATAATACAAGCACATGTGATATAAAACCTGCCCAGACGTTTAAAGCTTACTTTGTGGATAAGAGTAAAAAGGTAATATTTATAACAGTACCTCCTTCGTCAGGTTTAAGCCTTCCAGCAAGCATTCTGATAAATGTGGTTTTGCCTGTACCTGGTAAGATAACAACAAAAACAAAATTAACTTCACATTCTGAAGTAAAACATAATTTCCTCCTTGTTATAATGTGAAAATCTGTCTTGAAGATGTTATGTCAAAGTTATGAAGAAAAACAATCCCTAGCTGGGCAGTGGCGGTGCACACCTTTAGTTCAGCACTCAGGAGGCAGAGACAGGCGGATCTCTGTGAGTTCGAAGCCAGCCTGGTCTACAGGACCAAAAAAAAAAAGAGGAGGAAGGAAAAAGGAGGAAAAGGAAGGGGAGGAGGAAGAGAAAAAGAATCCTCTCTCACCTGTCAAGTATTAGCCTAAACTTATTAGGAGGAATAAGACCAGTCAGTGCATTTCAACAAATGCTTATTGCCCATATAACTTAGGTCTTCTGATAGTTTAAAAACGAATTTATCTGAGTTATCATACAATTTATTAAGGGTAGCATAGTCTGTTTTATGAATGAAACTATCACTAGTACAAAAGATTGTAACCCAATCAAAAGTGTTTACTGAAGCCCAATACACTATAAATCTTGTGTAAAAATCTTTCAAGTTTTATAAACTGCAAGACTATAATACAAATTATTACCTTTAAATCATAAAACACTAGATATTTAGTAATCAGATTCCTCTTATAATTACAGTGACAATTTAATAATGAAAATGTTGGTAATAAAACTATGAAAGTAGACAGAGCTCTCTGAATTTCAAATAAGAAAATTCCAAATACAGGTACCCAGGGACATCTTTTAAAGTTGGTATGTAACTATGAATGAGTGATTGGTTCACTAGTTTATTTATAGAAAAACCAGTTGAGCAGAAACTACCTATTTTTAGTGGAAATAATGAAGTAAGAAATATTAACTTGTCTGAACAACAGTGAGACTAAAGTAGCCAATACCACAAAAACGTCAAGCTAAAACAATAAATTTATAGATTCAAACTCAGATGCCAGCCCCGAGTCAATTCTCCATGAACATAGGTAATTTACAGAAGCCACTTTCACGAAATACAGGCTTACCGTTTTCCCCCAGCATCACCATGATTTCAGAATCTGTAAACTCTCCAGCTACAATCGCTAGCTCGAACTCTCCCATCTTTTTCTTCATCCCAGGATATTTATACATACACATCTTTTTAACTTCTTCTTCATTTGCTGTCTCAGCTACCTTGAAAACAAGTGATGCGTCCCTGAACCTCAAATTTTCTGTTGGAACATAGCCATCCAAAAAAATGTTTATGCCTGTTGGGAAGAAAATTACCAAAAGATTAGTAAAGACCTAAAAAACATATAAAGAATGTAAATAAAATAAATCCAAAATAAAGATTATGTTCTTTTTTTTTAGGGGGGGGGATAATACATATGTACACTCCATATACCTATCTTCTATCTTCTGTATCTTTGTTAATATCAAGCCTCCATATAACCAAAAGTCGACACTCCGTGTGTTTCAACAGTGTAAGCATGCTGGGCATGGTGGCTGGCGCCTATAATGCAATAGTCAGAAGACCAAGGCAATAAGACTGCTAGAGTTCGAGACTAGCCTGGGCTACACTGTACAGTCATGCTTCAGAAAAAAACAAACCAAATGACTCTCTCCCAGTGTAGCTTCATTTTCAGTTTAAACAATCTGTGAGCATACACATGTGAAGCAGGACGGCATTTTTATAGTGTCCTTCTATTAAAATGTTTCTGGGGCAGGAAGATGGCTCCGTGGGTAAGGGTGCCCGATGACTTGAGTTCATGCCCAGGACCCAGAGAGTGCAAGGATACCCGACTCCTGGAAGTCTCCCTCTGTCCTCCATACACATTGCTGTATGTGTGTGCCCACATACTGTGGACATACATACTCATACAAGGTAAATAAACCAATGTAAATAAAAAACGTTATTTTCTCTTATAAAAAAAAGTGCAGTACATAAGAATGGAATGTTTTCAGGTATACAATTGACACAAAATACTTTAGGGAGTAAATTTTAAAAATAAGCAATTTAAGTAGTGAGTATTGCTTTGTGAGATAGCCGTACAGTTAGAAGTTATTAATATATTTTTCTGATTACTTTTAGTTTCATAAGGAACTAAGTGAGCTCACTTCATCAAATATATATTTTTTGGTTTCACTGTACTAAGATAAAAACCATTCTCTAGAGTGTTTTTATAGTAGATGAAAGTAAACTAACATTATACACAAAACCCTTCTCTATTAAAAATAAAGCATTCATAATGGTAGACAAATTGAAAATAAAGATTATTATTAGTAAATATAATGAAAGATGTGTTTTCAGCATTTCTTTAAGTGGAGAGAAAGTAGCTGAAGTTTTGGGAGGTCTTGGAAAGTAAGGATGGTTGTCATTCCATCTGTACTAAGAGTCAGGTAAGGGATTTTTATGCTCAGCCTTAAGCACACAGTGGATTGGAAACCTTGGGAATGACAGAACCAACTTTTCTAAAAGGAGGGTTTTTATTCTTAAAGAATCTAAAAAGTGTAAATGTAAAACCTTTGGTGAAGAAAACTTGTCTTAGAGCTTCATTTGCCAACTAAAGAAGGGACTTTGGTTGGTGTGGTGCTGCATGCCTTTAATCCTAGCACTCCAGAGGTAGGCAGATTCCTATGAGTTTGAGGCCACCCCAATTTATGAGTTCCAGGACAGCCAGGGCTACACAGAGAAACCCTGTCTCAAAAAACGAAAAACAAAAGGGACTTTGATAAAAATAAAACAGTGCTGTGGTCTCTACATTCTTACTGTGCTAGCTATCCTGTTAACTTGAAAATACATCCTAGTGATTGCCATCTTTATAGTCGAGACCTTTTACATAAATATATAAGCTTACATAACGTGTGTATACACACACACACACACACACACACACACACACATTGATTTTTTAGTAGCTGAAAGGAAAGCAAGGAATAAGTACAGTCTCTCACGTCACCGTTTAAACCTCATGGGGACCTGTGCGGCCCAGCACCGACAAGCGGGGCTCTCCACTATGACTAGTGAGCATGTCCACAGCTCATCCTGAGTCTGCACGACTGCAGGGCACAAGGCAGGCACCCAGAAGTACTCACTGGCTGAAGAGGAGCAGTAAGCACGGCCTCATGGCACTCCTGGAATACTAAGCTCAGGAAGATAGAAGGGTTGCTGAGTTCGAGGCCAGGTAGGGTAACAGTGAGTTCCAGTCTTTAAAAACAAAAACCGAAGGCAAAGCAAACCAGAAACACCCCACCAAAACAAAAACAACACCCCCACAAAACTAAATTTAGTTCCAGTATCAATTCAAAATGTGTGATTATTATTTCAGTGTATGTTTGTGTGTTTGCACGTATGCCATAGTGTGCATGTGGAGGTCGGAGGGCAACTCTGTGGGCAGTTCTTTATGTGACCAGGCTTACACACAAGCACCGAACATGCAGCCCTCCTGCAGCCTCACTGCTCTCTCAGTATTTACTTTTGTTATGATATCATCTGTGAGTGTGTGCATGTGAGCGGCAAACTCTGGAGTCAGGGTTCTCCTATCGCTAAGTGGGGTTCTGGGAATTAAACTCAGGTGCCAGGCTTAGCAGCTAGTGTTGTTACCCACTGAGCCATCTTGGAGGTCACAAATGCTTATTTAAAGATTTTCTTAAGAATACTGGCAAGAAACTTGGCGTGGTGGCATTCACCTTTAATCCCAGCACTTCGGAAGCAGAGGACCTCAGTGAGTTTGAGGCCAGTTTGGACTACATAGTGAGTTCCAGGACAACCTGAGCTATGTAGTGAGACCCTGTCTCAAAAAACAAAGCAAGACTACTGGCAAGAAAACCAGGCCAACCTCATCCATTTTTCCTTAAAATACATAGCTATTCATCCTAAATATATATGTAGGTAAGTTATAAAAATTTCTTCCCATTCTAAACCATTGACATACTTTTTATAAATTATAGAAACTGCCAATTCTTTTTTATGAAAAGGCTTTGATATGCTGTAAATATCTTGTTCAAAATTATTTATTTTGTTTAAAAACATTAAAATACCTTATTCGAGTTTACAAAGCTTAAATGTCACAAACATAAGATAGGGATTATAGATAAATTTAAAATATGAAAATAAGATGAGCACTGAATAAATTTTAAGAGTTTTACTAAATGTGTTAGCTTGTTACAAATAAATTTGAAGGGGACAAATACTAAGTCAAAATGTAAAGATTCACTGATAACAAGAACTAGTAAAAATGTATATTTATTCTCAAAAAAAGAAAAGAAAAAAAGGAATTCTTTTCTGTAGCAGTGTACAGCCTTTACAATACACTTTACTCTCCTCAATGATTAAATTACAAAATATTGGCTTCACATACATATTAGACCAGTGCAAAGTACTGCCTATCAACAACAATACATTTCCAGGCATTAGGGAAGAAGAGGACACAGTGTTATGGGAACAGGTTTTCAAGTTACCTTCTCTTACACTAAAAGGCATAGTGACAACACCATAAGCACTCGGTACACCATATAAACAGCAGATGAAGTCAGAGAGATAGTCTAATACACTTAGATCATGTTCCACCACAATGATATATCTGGAAAGCAAGACAGACTTTTATTTTTAAATTTAACATAACATCATTAGCTAAGACTCATATATATTTCTTTTTACTATAGTTGTAAATTTTAGAAAAACGGAATTAAAAAAATTAAGTATAAAAGAACATAGGAAAGCCATAAAATATTTTCTTATACAAAGCTCATTACTGATGTTCACATTTAAAATGTTTTCTTCAGCTAAAAGGAAAACATTCGTAATATAAGGTTTATAGGTATATGAAATAAACACGTCTTGCTAAAATGAAACATTTTAAAGTAAACTTTGCAAAGTGGCACTATAATACTAAATTCAAATATAGCCTTGAGTGTGTAATTGTTTGAATACTTCAACCAACTTCTGTATTTAAGACTTACAATGCCTCATAGTATGGGATATGCAAAGAAAGATTAAACAGAATCCCTTACCTAAGAATAATGATCATCTAAGATTCTGAATAATGAATAATATGAAACAGTGACTCCCTTGCAAAAGGTTATATTGACAAAATATATTATTATAGAGAATGAGATTCAGTGAAACTCAGAAAGGAAAATGTTAGTAAGCACTACAGTGCTTTAAGAATGAGGTGGGATATATGAATTTCAGGGTAGATTCGACTAAGACGGTTTAAAAAAGAATCGCTAGGATACAAGCTACCAAACTCTTGTAGTCATGGAGCTTTGTCGGCAGCACTTGATTCCCACCCCACCGATTCTCACACATCTCAAATACCAACGTAAGGTATCAGAGTATGCACAAATCAAGTTCTCATTTGTATAAACAGAAATCCCTCCCCAAGATGGCTAATTCTCCTTCCCTTGACAGTGCTCAGATAGGCAGCTGCAGGAGCTCCCCCCTAGCTGTGCCGTGTCAGCAGTGGATCATGTTCCTTTGTCTAAACTAAAGCCAGGCTCTCATCGTTAACTCTTTCTGCATCACTAGATCTCTACAAAATCTCAGGATCCCTGACGTGCCTATCAATTCCACATAAATGACTATTTTCAAGAGCTTTACAACTTCATCTACCTTTTTTGGTTATTTGTTTGTTTCTTTGAGACAGGGTTTCTCTCTGTAGCCCTGGCTGTCCTGCTCTGTAGACCAGGCTGGACCAGAACTCAGAGATTTGCCTGCTTCTGCCTTCCAAGTGCTCCTGTGCACCTCCAGGAGTGCCTGGCTGAATTCATCTATCTTACTATTACTTTATTTATGTACAGAAAAATAATTAAAAATTCAAGCCCACCCCCTCAATAATGCACTTCTCTGTTTTGTATGTTTAAGGGCCACTCCTTCCTAAATGGTCACCCGCCAAAATTTTCATCTATTACAATACAACTCAGCTCCTATTTTAATCCATTTTAAATCCTATTCACTATAGGAATACCTTTCCTTTTTTTTTGGAGCTGAGGACCAAACCCAGGGCCTTGCACTTGCTAGGCAAGCACTCTACCACTGAGCTAAATCCCCAACCCCAGGAATACCTTTCCTGATATGCAAATTAAATAAATTTTTCCTACTCTTAAAACTCCTTTTTTACTTAATGAAATTTCTTTCTTGCATTTCTTGAATTCAAATGGAATTATATTAGAAGTCAAAAGTTTTCTAATGTTTTAGAAGACAGTATCTGTGTACCCAAATAAGAAATCTGTGCTGAAAAAATAGGTAATATATACAATTAAAAGCTCCAGTTTATTTTGTATTTCTTACTGTTTTCTGGAGGATATGATCTTCAAAATTTTTATAGCACTAAAGACTATCTGAATGCATGCTTTGACAGCTTCAGAATGAAGATATACTTTCTTCAGCTGTTTACTACCAACCTATCATCACACATGGATTACCTTTTTTTGGTTTTTTGAGACAAGGTTTTTCTGTGTAAGAGCTCTGGCTGTCCTGCAATTACTTTGTAGACTAGGCTGGTCTAAAACTCAAGAGATCCATCTGCCTCTGGCTCCCGAGTGCTGAGATTAAAGGTGTGCACCCTACTGCCTGGCTCCCACAGGATTCTGTTACCTCAACCAATACATGAGAGATTGGTGCATCTACAAAGGTGTTTTACTTACTGTTTCTGCTTGGTTAACTGAATTTGTTTTCACATGCTATCACTGTTACAATTAAGGTGTTATCTTTTCTCCCATACTTAAAAAATATCTTGTAAAATCTATTTTTCTTACTAGTTTTCCTAAGATCTGTTCATCCTTATTAAGTCTTCCTTTACTTTCTATCTTTTAATTTTACTTAGTATAAGTATGATGTTTTATGGTCCAGTGATTTGCCTGAATATATATATATATATATATATATATATATATATATATAAGCTGAAATGTGAGTCAGTTGACTATGGATTACTTTCCTTTAGCTCTTCTTTTATTAAAGTTACAATGTTCTTTGGTAGTTAAAAATCATAGATGAAGTAGATGATATGATCTATAACTAGAAGGGGCTTGGATTAGGAACTACTTAGTCATCTGCATCTGTATCTTTTAAGATCAGGATATTTCTTTACTGTACTGTCAAGTTCTTAAGATAGCAGGGTTATGTTTTTATACTGTTACTTCCCAAAGACTGTTCAAATGCCCAAACATGTGATATAATGCCCAATCATGTGTATGAAGTAAAAAGTCTATCTGTTTGGATAATTAAGACTGTACCAATATATTTGTAGGTTCAATTCAAAACATGTTAAGTGTTATAGATCCTTTATTAGATTTTTGTTTGAGGAGTTGGGGGTTTTACCAATTCTGAAAATCTACCAGCCATGATCCCTTCAATGCCTCTAATTTAAAAGTTAGAATTTTTAAATTTAAATAAATGCATCATTGCTGGGCATAGTGGTGCATACCTTTAGTCCCAGCACTTGGGAGTCAGAGGGCAGGCAGAGCTCTGAATTCAAGGCCAGCCTGGTCTAAGGAATGAGTCCCAGCTAGCTAGGGCTACACAGAGAAACCCCGTCTTTAAAAACCAAACCAAAGGAAACCAAACTAACAAAACCCCATCGTCATTATTACTGTGTATATGTGAGTGAGTCATGTATATGTGAGTGAGTCATGAGTCATGGAGGGCATGCTGATATCAGAGGTAACTTTATGGAGCTGATTTTCTCCTTCCAGTTTTATGTGGACTCTAGGGATTGAACTGTATGTCAGACTTATGCAACAAGTGACTTCACCTGCTCAGCCATCTTGCCCAGACTCTTTAAAACACAACTAAATAGTTTTCTTAATACAATCACCATGTTTCAAATCTCCTCTTATATTCCAATGCCATTTTCTCAGTTACACTGACTAACTGTGAGACTGAGTTTTAATGTTCCCAACATCGTTTTGCGTTTCTAATTAGTCCAGGGAGTTTTTAATGTTGCTGTGTGTGTATTTGTACAAGTTTTTGTGTGTGGATACATGTATGTTGCTATGCACACAGGTGTGCATACTCCCGGAGGCTAGAGGCCAACACCCATATCTTCTTCAATTGCTTCTCTATCTCATTTTTGAAGGCAGGCTCCTTCACTGAACTTGGAGTTCATTGACTGACTATACTGGCTGACTGGCAAACCCAGGGATCTGTTTACATTCACCTCCCCAGCACTGGGATTACAGTTCCATACTGCTGAGCTTGGCCTTTTCTTAGGTTCTGGGACTAAACTCAAGTCCTCATGTTTGCATGAGAATCACATTCCAAATGAAGCCATCTTCCCAATCCTTTACACTTTTAAGTTTTAGATTTGTCTGGGCTTTTGAACATTTATTCATCAAAATCTTAGGGTTTTTAATATTTTAAAACATTTTATATTATTATTATTATTATTTTGGTTTTTTGAGACAGGGTTTCTCTGTGTAGCTTTGCGCCTTTCCTGGAACTTGCTTTGTAGACCAGGCTGGCCTCGAACTCACAGAGATCTGCCTGGATCTGCCTCCCAAGTGCTGAGATTAAAGGCATGCGCCACCACCGCCCAGCCATTTTATATTATTTTAAAGGCTCTTTCAGAATGTAAGATGAAATTCTAACACTGTTATCTTGTTGTGTATATTGACTAAGTTTAGAGACAGCTGCTTTTTATACTTTCTGAGAGCTAAGCTCATGTTCATCTTTACCTGTAAAAATTGTACTCAGAGCTGAGGGCATAGCCCTCCCAAATGCATTGTTATTTGTTTCTCTACACCATAAGGCTAAAAAGTTCCAAGACTCCTTATACTGCTTTCTCACTCTCAAGGTTCAGTTCTATAGCTGTATGACCTGTTTGCACAACAACATAATGAAAGGGGAATCGTTACTCTGATTCCAATGTCCTTTTCCTTGGCATTTCCGGTTCCTGATGAGTAACGTGTTTCCAATTTGCCTTTTTGCTAAGAAAGCAAAAGTTCAGAGTCCTGGCATATTATGTATGATAATCCAATACAAGAAACAAGCTTCCATCTGCAGAGGGCGTTAAAACCCATGACCAACATTACAGACACCAACAATGTCTGGAAAGCCCATATCTATCTTTATTCTTTAGAGTTCTCACTTTGTTTTCTGATCCCTTGAGACTTCTGTTATCTTCAGACAATGTTTATCAAATCAGTAACTAAAGAGAGGCATTATGGTATAAAAACACACTGTAGCAAAATTCTCCTGTATTCTGGTTACAGTCTTGTCAAATAAATCTGCACCACTGAATAATAAACTTTTTAGATCATATGCTCCCTCAACTGTAAAACATGAATTCTACCTAAAGACCTAAAAAAATTACCAGAAGCATCAAAGGCAATGATGAATTAAGAAACTCTAAAAACTGAGAAGCAGTATACTCAACACATGGTATTGTGAATGGATCATAGAAGTTACTAAGAACTTTTTTCTGTTCAGTGAGACTGTAAACACCAGAACATTAATTCTGGTGATGTCTTAAGCATGCGTGGTTTGTATGTACAAGACTGAGATTTGCATTTGAGGATCTAGTAAAAACTAAGATGTTTTCCCCAAAAAACATACACACAGCACACGTATATACAAAATTTAGATGCTACATAAAATCAGAGGTACCAATACACAAATCTTGCACTAAGAACCTATAGTCTAGGATAGAGGAAGGGAAATTTGGGTGGTTGCTTACAAATGATCAAGATGGAAAACATGAATTTGTTTAATCTTTAAATATCTGTTAAATTCCCCCAACAAAAGAACACAGAAATGTACTGGATCTATACTTACCTATCTGGATTTATTAGAGATCGAATAGTAATGGCAGCTTTTAAACGCTGCTTGACATCGAGGTAACTGGAAGGTTCATCAAACATAAAACTAAGAAAAAAAAGCAAGTATGCTCAGTTTGAATAACCTAAAATAATTCCATCATATATATTCTTTTTATGTAGCACAATCATGGCTCTGACTTAACAGAATTAGAAATTTCATGTACCAACGAAAGGAGGCTAATTGTAAGGGTAAAACTATATTTTGTTCAGGAGAAGAAAGAAAATAATTACAAAAAGCAGAAATATATACCTACAAATCTGAGGAGAGCTTTGAAGATTGGACTAACTTATTAACTGCTTACTGTTTCATGAAAAATATTCGGATACAGTCTGAAGTAGTTTGAAGAGCCCCTTTCTTTTTTATCTTAGACTGTATTTATTTTGTGTGTGTGTGTTTAGGGTTGTCACTGCCTCCATGAGGAGGTCAAAGAACAACTTTGTTGAATTGGTTCTCTTTGCACATTGTGGTTCGGAGGAACTGAACTTGGGGTAAAGCTTGGTAACAAGTACCCCTTCCACTGAGCCATTTTACTGGCCTCTAAGAGACATTTTCTTAATTGCCTCAAGTCCAAAAGCTTTAAAGTAGATTGTTTCTCAGAGCTTGATTATTCACCAGAGCAGAAATGTGGGAAAGGATGGGAGCAGGATCTGAAAGGAGGGCGATATTAGTAAGTAGCAAAAGAGCTCTGCCTCTCTTCTTCTATTTCTCCCTCACATAGCATGCTACTCTGACTGTAACTAGTCCAAAGACCATCTTTCACTTGAGGTATTTAGAAAGCTTACTGACCTGTACAGAGAGCTTATGTACAGCATAAAAAACTACTCATAAGAACAGACGACTTCCCTGCCTTGGGACTCCTAACAGGGGAAACGGGTCATGGATATATGACTGCTTTAACATATTACTTCAAAATCAGAGCTTTAAATATCTTTAGTAGTTACTCCTTTCAAGATTACTACTGTATTAGCAGTATTATAAATACAAACTCACAAAGATTAAGATACACAAAAAGTGTAAAGTAACCTACATATCAGCTTTTTGTATGCAAACGACAGCACAAGCAAATCTCTGCAACTCTCCTCCTGAAAGATCTTCAACATTTCGTTCTTTAAGGTGAGTTAAATCTACAAAGAATAATCAGAAGCATTGTGTTCAATGTCATAAATTCCATTTCACCTCTTCTGGGCAAAATGCATACTGCATGTCAGTACTCTGGGTTTGAATGATACTCCAATTTAAAAGTGTGTAGTAACAATAATATAATTATGAAAGCTTTCCTCATGAATTTAGCAACCCACATAAAGACAATTATGACCAAATGCAATCTATTAAAAGCATGTACTCAAATACTTACCAAGCTGCTGACATACAATTGCCTGTGTCTTTGTTTCATCTTTTCGGTCCAAAATAGACCCCACTGTCCCCTATCATAACAGAAAATTATCACTATTTTCCTGTAGCATTAAAAAGTCATGAAGTAAAACAAGTCTACTTTGATATAACTTTTATTCTTCTACTAGAATCTATAGTATATAGCCTCTCTCTATAAATGAACTGACCTTTGCAGCCTTGGGAATTTGGTCTACATATTGAGGTTTGATAATGGCTTTTAGGTCATCTTCTAGAATTTTGGTGAAGTAATTCTGTAATTCAGATCCACGGAAATAAGTCAAGATCTCTTGCCAATCAGGCGGATCCTAGAAACATATATAATAGTTATCAGAATTTAAGATAAAAATACAAAGGAGATGGATGCTAAATAAAATTAAATATGTCTAAATGAAGACTTCTTCTAATTTAAGATTAGAAATATACAATTTCAAATCAAGGCATACCAATTCAAAAGTTTAAGTGAACTATGAATTTTCAGTTAAGCAACACTAACATCTTAATTTAGAAAGGATGGAAAACGAGACTTGCCACATACAGATACAAAACTAAACAACAAAAACCCAACACCCCCAACAAACAATAATAACAAAAAGAAAGAACGAAATCCATACATGGTATTGTGTACCAGTATTGGGAGGCTGAGTCAAGAGGACTTTTTAGTTCAAGGTCTGAGGATACATAGTAAGAGCATGTCTTAAAAAACCAAACTAAATCAAACCAAACTTGGGCCATACAACATCTTTGAACTTCAATCCCACAAATTAACTTAAAAATAAGAACATCAAAAAAATTATACTCATCCCTCTCCTCAAAAAAAAGAAAAAAAAAAATCACAGGACCCAGATATTAATTCTCATAGTCTGTTAATACGTACATCATACTTTCCAAGGTTTGGCTTTTGCTTTCCTGCTAAAATTTTTAATGCAGTTGACTTTCCAATACCATTAGTTCCAACTAATCCCAATACTTCACCTGGACGAGGGATAGGCAACCTATTACAATACCGGGAAAAAAAGAAAAAAAAAAAAAAACAAGACTCAGTATTAGATAGGTGAAGGTACCCAACAGCAGGATGATAGATAGACTCTAAACACTTGCATGTTACACATACCCATTAACATGCTAAGAAATACATACTAAGCACTATTAGGGAGGAAACAGCCAAGTGAAACTAATTGTTAGAAATGTTTCCACCATCAATTAATACCCCAATTTTATTTATCTAATTCAACATTTTTCTTTACAGTTAAGGCTCAGCTTTAGCACACAGTAAAAATTCCACAGCAAGCACACCCCACACTGTCACTTTCTTCTTTTCTGGCCTGCCACTTGCTTTTAAGGAGGGAAGTGCCACACCAACAACAAACTTTGTATGCCACACTCCCTCTTATTTTTGGCCCCTAACAGCTGGCTGGGTGAAAAGACCTTTTTATTCGTAAAATCTAGACTTTCAGATTAAATATACTGCAATATATTGCATATTAATATATTAATATTCAGCAGAAAAAAATAAGAATTAAGAACCTAGTGATTTAATATGAAGCTCAAGTCAGCATAATATTATCTGTGAATATGTAAGATTTCATTTAAGGTTATCTAGGACAGGGTATTATGAACAATGGTGATTGTCAACTGTGATCGTATTTTAGGATGATCTGAGATGTTTTTACCTTCTACACATCTAGTTTCTATATCCATTTATGACATAATTTAACTGGGCTAAAGCTTTTGTAGTTGTTTTAAATTCCCTCAGGAATTAATTCTAATATTAACCAGAATGAACTACTGACATTTTTTGTTTGTTTTTTTGAGATAGGATCTCATTAAGGTAGCCTTGGTTGGTCTAGAACTAACTATACAGACCAGGCTAGCCTGGAACTTACAGAGATCCTCCTGCCTCTGCCTCTCAAGTGCTGGGATCAAAGACATGTGCCACCATACCTGGCAACTGCTGACATATAAATATAACCTTGCATTTTATAATATTCTATTACTCTTTGGCAGATGTTCAATATCATTTTGTTATACTTCTCTAAAAACTCTAAGGGAATTTTAACCCTTGACTGAAGTAAAGAGAAATATACCTGTGAAGCTTGAAAGCATTGGCACAATATCGATGCGTTGTTTCTTTTTCCAAGTTGCTTGGCAAATTGACAATTGATAAGGCGCCAAAGGGGCATTTCTGTTATTTAAAATAAAAAAATCATACATTAATTTATAAAATACACAATGCAAATAGATTAAGAATATTTTTATTGAAATCTTCCAAGCATGAGTTTTACAAATGAAAGGTAATTTTTATCTTATGTACTTAAAAATAAAAATCAAGTTCCTTGAAGATTAAAGCTGATTTGACAAATTTAATACTCTTCTTCATAACTGATAGATCAGTTAATTATAGATCAGACAGTACTGTGCAGTGCTTTCCATAATCTCTCTATAACAGAGGTTTTCTTCCCCTTAAACTATTTCTGTCCTCGTTAGCGGCTTTCCTACACTAGGTAAAGTCTTTTAAGGTGTCTGGATTGTATCATTTAGAGGAGAGGGCTATTTCTATCCTGCCAATAGCTTATATACTGGATCAAAGCCTAATGCTTTTCTGTTAACTTATTCAATACAGTATTTGACTATTAGATAAATGTTCACGGAACAAGAACGGCAAGTATAAGAAAGTCACTAAGGGCAGTGGTAGTGTGTGGGCTGGGGAGATGGCTCAGTGGTTCTAACTCAGGTTAGATCTATTCCCAGCACTCATGACAGTGTGTTCCTAAAATCTCAAGCTGGAGGTAGGAAAAGGAAGATCCATGGGGCTTGCTGGCCAGTAGGTCAACTCAGCCTAGTAAGGTCCAGGTTTAGTCAGAGACCTTCCTGGCTTATAATAAATTTCGGTTTTACTCAATTATTTAAAAAAAAATAGCCAAATGAATGGAAACACATGAACTATGAACCAAAGGCTGAGGGGCCCCCAACTGGATCAGGCCCTCTGAATAGGTGAGACAGTTGATTGGCTTGATCAGTTTGGGAGGCAACTAGGCAATGGGACCAAGTCCTGTGCTCATTGCATGAGTTGGCTGTTTGAAAACTGGAGCTTATGCAGGGACACTTGGCTCAGTCTGGGAGGAAGGGACTGGACCTGCCTGGACGGAGTCTACCAGGTTGTTCGCAGTCCTTGGGGGAGGATTTGCCCTGGAGGAGGTGGGAATGGGGGGTGGGCTGGAGGTAAGGGGAGGGGGTGAGAGGGGGGAGAATAGGGGAACCCATGGCTGATATGTAGAACTGAATGGCATTGTAAAATAAAATAAAATAAATAAAAAAAAAAAAAAAGAAAAAAAATACAAGGTGAGATGCAATTGAGAAAGACACATGACTTCTGACCTCTGGCCTCCATATGTACATCTACCCACTTACATACATGCATACTAAAGAAAAAAAGAAAGCAGTCATAATGTGGCTAAATGTATCTCTAAAGTATACACAATGATAGAGACATAACCAGGAAGGACAAGGTCAGCTTAGAGCTCTGATTCAAAAAGAATTCAGTGAATTTTCTTTTCAAATTATGAAAACATAACAAATTAAAGAAAACAAATCAAGACAATTATTTTATTTTCTAATAATTTCTGCCCCCTAACTGTACTGCTACATTTTTACGTTTTCTATTCTCCTCTTTTCATCAATGTATAAAAAATGCCTACAAGCAGGCCACAGGTGGTTTTCAACTGCTAGGTGCCATGGAAAAGAAATCCACACTCATAATGATGTGGACTATTCAGTGCTCAGGATGAATGTATTACTTCCTCCTCCATTACTGAGAGCTGATTTAATTAGCGTTTCTAGGCATTCAGACATTATCTAAAACTCTGGCATATTATTTTCTCACAGCATCAAAAAGAAAACAGAATAGATGACACTGTAATGCTCACACCAGATCCCTAATGCCAGCATACAGGCAGGCACACATAACAAATGACCAGTATAGTTTCCAGGACTAGCACTTCCTGTTTACATTTTCAAAATAAGAGACAACATTCCCCGAGTCCATGTAACTTTTCTTGATACTTAAATAAGGATTAAAAAACCAATATAAAACATACCTATGGCTTATGTGAACAATTTATAGGTAAGTATCCAGTTGCTAAATTCCTCTTATAAGCTAAAGCTGGAGATTTACCACACATAAGTCAAAAGTCAATTATTCAATGTAACAAAATTTAAGATGCTTAAAATTATACTACTGGAATAAATACAACAGATGCCTATATAAGATACAGTAAAGCATTTTTAAATTAAACTTAAGATTTTTTTCTTTTTGCTATATTTCTACTTGAGAATGGTAAATTCAAAATTAAATAAACTTAGGCCAGGTGTAGTGGCGCACGCTTTTAATCTCAGCACTCAGGAGGTAGAGGCAGGAGGATCTCTGTGAGTTGAAGGTTAGCCTGCTCTACAGAGCATGTTCCAGGCCATCCGAAGTTAATTAGTGAGCCCAGTCTCAAAACAAAAATAGACTTGAGAAAATATTGTCAATTATACTTTATTTCCAGAATATTTTGGCAAACACTTGCTACAAAATTTTCATGTAATAAAAAGCTGAATACAGAGAAATAATCTAGTTAGAAATATCTTTACCAAGTTGTATAGGACAATTACTTGCTTAAAAATTTTTATTACTGAGTGTGCATGGGTGTGTAAGCCACGGTGCACATGTAGAGCTCAGAAGACACATCTAGGGAGCTGGGTCTCTCTACAGCTAACTGGGTTCTTCAGCTTGAAATCGGGTCATCAGACTGGCTCGAAAAGTGCCGTTTTCTCCCAGGACATCTCAGTGATCCACTAATTTTGGGTTCTCTGTTCCTTTCAGGTCCAGAGACAGATGCACCTCCTTAGGCAGTACTAGCCTTATCTCTGAAACATGATGGTGAAGGTTGGAGTGAACAGATTTGGCCACTGGGTGCCTGGATTGCATGTTGCCTTTAACTCTGGGAAAGTGGATACTGTTGCTATAAATGGTCCCTTCACTGCGCTCAACTACATGGTATCCATGTTCCAATGTGATTACAATCATGGCATTTTCCATAGCAGTCAAGAGTGACACTGGGAAACTTGTCAATGATAAGAAGGCTACTTCTATCTTCAAGGAGTGTGATCTATCCAAACCAAATAGGGTGATGCTGGTGCTGAGGGTCCAATGGTATCTTCATTATTATGGAGAAGGCCAGGGCTCACTTGAGGGGTGGAGCTGAAAAGGTCATTTATCATATCTGCCACTTCTGCTGATGGCTCCCATTTTTGTGATGGGCATTAACCAAGGTAAGGATGAAAAACCTCACTCAAGATCGTCAGTAATGTCTCTCGTCACCACCAACTGCTTAGTGCCCCTAGCCAAGGTCATCAATGACAACTTTGATATCACTCAAGGACTCAGGACCACAGTCCATGCTATCATTGCCACCCAGAAGACTATAGATGGTCCCTCTGGGAAACTGTGATGACAGCCATAGAGCTGGCCAGAACATCATCTCTGCATCCACTAAGACTGTGGTCAGTCATTCCAGAGTTGAAAAGGAAGCGCACTGGTATGGCCTTCCATATTCCTACTCCCACTGTGTCCATGGTCGATCTGACCTGCCACCTGGAGAGAGCTGACAATGTGATGACATCAAGAAGATAGTGAAGCAGACACTGGAGGGAGGCCTAAAGAGCATCCATCCTGGGCTGAGGACCAGGTTGTCTTCTGTGACTTTATGAGCAACACGCTGCCCTCTTTCATCTTTGATGCGGGGGTCGACACTGGTCTCAGCAGCCACCTTGTCAAGCTCATTTCCAGGTATGACTATTGGCTCTAGCAACAGCATGAGGGACTTCATAGTTCATGCAACCTCCAAAGAGTAAGGAATCCTGAACCACACACCCCAGCAAAAGCAAGAGAGGAAGAGAAAAGCTGCTGTGGAGTCCCTGCCCCATCAGCATCCACCACACTGAGCATCTCCCCTCAGTTTTCACCTTAGATGCCACCAGAAGAAAGAGAGGGACTGAGTGAATCCACCGGTCTTGCATACCATCATTAAAGATCACTAGAACTCCCAAATAAATTAAGTAAGTAAATAAAGTAAGTTCGGTTTGGGGACCAGAAAGATGGCTCAGTAGGTAAAGATGCTTGCCACCAAGTCCGGTGATCTGAGTTTGATCCCTGGAACCCATATGGTAGAAGCATGGATACCTGCACATTATCCTCCATCCTCCACACGCACACTGTGGCAGAGGCACCCAGACATGAGCGTGTTACACACACACACACACACACACACACACACACACACACACGAAATAAATGTAAGATAGTAATAAAAGTGGTTTCAATAATTTAAAAAAGCAATAATACTGTCATAAGAATATTACTTCCTTAAACTTATTTTTAATTTATATGCCCTATACTTTTGTCTTAAAAAAAAAAAGTACTTAGAATTTTCAGATTTTAATTTTGACTCGATAAATAAAATATTATCACGTACCTTAATACAAATACCACAACCAATACAGAGAGTCTCAGAAATCCATGCTATTTTGCTCTGGGGTGTAACCTCTATGCATAATTTTCCTGGGAAAGAAAAACAATTTCCTTTATCAGAACACTTTTAAGATTGTTATTCAGAAAATGCTGTTTCTGGGAGCCCTATACAAAAGTTTCAACAGCAAGGACAATTTCTTAAATTAGTGTTTCGTGGGGCACATTCTGAATTAAATAACTAGATTTATTAATTATGTATTCTTGCCAGGCAATAAGCAAATGGCCAATATATTCTGTTTATCTAATAGCGGTAAAAATATGGTAAACCTTAAAATATTATTGTATTTAAGTTGACTGACTTGAATTTGTTTTTGGTGCTTTGGATGCAACCCCAGAGTCCTGCATACACTAACTGACTCTTTAACTCATAAAAGGAAGCATGTCTTAAAAATGGAAAGGCACATCACAGACAGGAATAAAATATTTCAGTTAGGTAAATGAAACCCCCAAAAGCAGTTTTCTAGTATACAGATACAAATTAAGCTCAGTATTCAAGACATCAACAATTGAATTTCTGAAAAGCACAGGAGACACGAACAGCTACCATCTAAAGTCTAGAAGTTACTACTACAAGACAGTAGTCATGTAGCCAATGCTGAAAGGCCACCAACAATTTGCCAACTTAATCGCTAGATATACTTAATCCTGAAAATCTAGCAATACCCCATGAAATGATTGTCACTAAGCTAAAACTTATTTATTTATTGGTTTCAAGATGAAAACAACATCTAATGTAAAGATTCTGGTAATCATTCCCCTGTGACTCAATTATAAAATTTTGTAGAATAGAAAAGATTGCAGTTAACTTTTGGTTTAGTGAATGCCTTAACAATGACATTCTATAAGTTCTTTTAAAAGGACCATTTAGTCACAAACTAATCAAAGCTTACAATAAATTCTAACTTTCTCACCTTTGTAGTTCACAGAAACTAACAGAGATTAATACAGTATCTGCCAAAGCCTCTCTGAAGCTCTCACCCCCGTTTGCTTTCCCACAGCCACTTTCTACCCTCAGATGGCCAACAGGACCCCTTACCCATTCGAACCACAGGGCAGCTCTTCTTGCACTCCTGTCGACATTTCTTAGGTTTGCATTTGTCATGGTTGACAATAGCAATTCTTGTTAATTTGTCTGCCATAATTGTAACAAAAAATATCGGGCTCTCCTATTAAAGATAAATGAACAAAGTTACAACAAATTCAATATAATCACGTAAAGAGAAATAATAGGCATAAAAGGAGGACACAAATAATTATATGGAGTTTATATGTTTATTTGGAAAATTTAAAAATGATTAGGAACAGCTAAATAATCTATTCAGGTGGGAAACAAAATTTTACACAGTGGATTTAGATTAGGAAATAGGTGCCACTTAAAATGCCACAAAACAAAACAAAAAAAACCCACTTAGGTTTAATAGACACATGCATGGGAAAATACTCAAGAACATTAAATCCCAAAAGATCTAACCAAATAAAATGTGCTATTTCAGTTTTTATAATAAAATAGTTGTTTTCAAAAAATTAATTCTTCCAAAATTTATATATACAATCCAATCTCTTGGGCAAAAAATATGTCATATAAACCAAAGCTAAAGTTCTTTTGGGAAATGAGTAATCAGGAATATTAAAACATCAAGGATAGAAGCTTATACTTGACAGATTAAAAATATTACACAAAAGCTCAATAATTAATATTAATATCACTGTATGAATATAAACTTATAAAATGGTCTATATATTGAAAACACACACACACAATCTAAAGATGTTTCTTCTTTGTTCCTATAAACCAATGATTAATTTTGTTTTCCAATTGACTATAATGACTACTACTGATGGAAAGGGAAAACTAGAGCTGTGACCATCATGTTACTGTCCAGGTTTTTATGTTTGTAGCAATTCACTATACATATATACCATTCTTTCAAGACTCTTTTAAGTCTTGATATATAACATCTACACAGAATTTAGATCAAAGCAAATTTAACTTTTATCTTTTATGATATTGGGTTTGATATATTGACATTAATCCCTCATGTGACCGAAAGGAATATATTCTAACAGTGCCTTCAGACTCTGCTTTATTTCACACATAATGGAGAAACCAAAAGCCAAGACTAACCATTTGCAAAGATATTTTGCTAGCCTTTTCTGTGATCCTCAACCAATATAGCCGTTAATATGATTAATGAGGGACATAAGCAAGATTGCTCCTCAATGCTGCCCTAGACTATTTCCTCTTCATCCCCAAAACAGGTTTTCCTCTCTGACCCAAATGTTTTCATCACTTACAGATTATCAGACCACATCTTTAGGTACGTTAATGAAAAAATGAAACCTTAACAGAGCTATGCTGACAAACAAGGTCACTTCTTCAAAAACTGATCCAGGTCTCCTAAGTTAGAAGAAATTAAATGATTTTACTTTACCTTAAAGTTAATTTAAAACCCTAAGCCAAATCATGTGACTTTTCTAAGAAGTTTATTATTTTAGCAAAGCTGCTACTAAATTAGGCACCATGCGTTCCAATACAAATATTAATGCTTTTTTACAAATTACCTGGCAAATGAACTCCTTTTCAGACATAAACAAATCTTTCACTATGAAATTGCTTATGTTGGTCTTTATTGTTGTTAAGGTACTAAAACTATCTAATTTTCAAATAATTAAAAGTCTATAATATATAATACGTATGGGGAACAGAAACATCTGAGGTGGCTAATCAAGTTCATTTACATAATATAATGATAAATTATTTTACATTTAAGAAAAATGAATATAGATTCTTTGTATAACAGTTACACAGGTAAACACTACTTGTTCAATTTCCGTATTATTTCCAAGAATTAGGGAAAAGGAGTTCCCTTCTTTCCAATAAGAACTTGGCACAGAAAAGCTTGCAGAGGAAGGTTAAAGCAACAAAACTTTTGGGAATACAAAAAGGTTTGAAGATATTTCAGATCTGAAGACGGACGGTTCAAAACAGACACTATTAAAGCAATGACTGGTGAGAGGCATACACCTGGGAAACGTGTACAGTCTAAGATCACATGAAATATTATGACCTAGGCTTACTGTAAATTAGCCTTATAAAGCATAATAAGTTGGGAAAGGCACATAGCTTTGATTTTTAATGGCTTGCCTTTCAGCAACTGGTAAATGTGAAACAATTTTTTTGTCTGTTTTTGTTCTGTTTGTAGAGGTGAGCTACGTTAATTAAAAAAGTAAAACTTTAAGCACATTTTGGTTCAAATATATATAAAAAGCTTCTGATTATACTGAATACATTAACTATCAACTGACAGACACAGGACAGTAACACCTATGTTACTGTCCTGTATGCAGAAAGTAGTTTCAGGCCCAGTGACTACAAGGCAGGTGTTACTATCCTAACTCCCTAGTTAGTAGTCCCTGAGAAGAAAAGGGTAAACCAACAAAATCTGTTTTGAGAGTTATTCCTTAGTTACCAATTTTACCATCAAAAAAGAGAAAATACTTATGTAGCTCATGGTATGTAGGAATTCAGCTTTGGCCATCATTCATTTGCAACAAATACTAAATGCCTACAATATATTGCGCCTTGAAAGGCTAAAGATATTTTGAATAAAGACACCATCCCTGATCAAGAAGCTTAAGATGTAACAAACGGAAAAAAAAACAAAAACCAGACTAAGTCACTAATGGGAAGAGTAAGGGGTGCTACCAAGTGCCTCTCCAAAGCCCTATAGACAGGCATTCAACTAGGAAATTCACGGGCCAATTCCAGTACCAACTGAGGATACGTCGCTCTCTGAGAAAAGCAGAACATTTGCCCATCATTTCTATCAAGTCTGGGAGTGGCCACGAGTCCTGGACTTCATGGCGGCAAGATGCCGTGACTCACTCCACAATCATTAAAAGGCACAAGAAAAACCACGACTTTCCACAACCAAATGGCTGTGTGACAACGTGGCCATCTGACTGTGAGGGGAGGCTGGGGGCTCTGCCGGGCGCCGTAAGCTCCGAAGGTGTCGTCCTCCGCAGAGGGGCCAGCTCCGGGGTGGGAGCAGGGGGAAGCGGGGGCGGCGGAGGGGGGACGCCGGCGGAGGGGGACGTCGGCGGAGGGGGGACGGCGGCGGGGACGGCATCCGGACCCCCCTCGCGGCAGCTGTCAGGGTTTGGGGTGTAACAGCCGCGAGGCCGGGACGGCCGGACGGACCCACGGGGGCCCGGCAGCCCCAGATGTGCAGCCGCAGCCGGCTGCCACGCGCTACGGTCCCCGCGCTGGAGGCCTACTCACAGCGCTCCGAGAGCGTGCCCAGCCTTCCCGCGGTGGCAGCGGGCCGCCGAAGGCCGAGCCCCTCCCACCTACTCACCTACCTGGAGACAAGGGTCCCCTTACAGTAGGGCGTGCGGGAGCCGGAGCAGCGCTCGCCCTCACGCCTCGGCCACACAACGTGTTCTTACCGCCAGCGGCCAAGATGGCGGGCTCCAGCCGCCGCCTCGCGCAAGGGATGAGAGCGTAGTGCGCGTGCGCGACAGAGCGCGGAGTCGGCGCCCCGGAGGGCGTGTGGGCGCTATGACGTCATTGTGCGGCGACTCAAGTTAACTGAGGGAGCCCGGACTCCCTGGGCCGCCGTGGGAGTGGTGCTGACCTGCAGCACGCCCGGAGGAACGGAGCTGTGGCAGACCCGTAAGAGCGCGGCTCTTCCTCGATTTCGAGAGGGGTGCAGAGCAGTCCTCCTCCCTGTTCTTGGTGGCGGTAAGCGTGCTGTCTCCTCGGGCCTGGTGGGTCTGGGGGGGAGCCTTAGCGGATCTGGTGGACTAGCGGTGTCAGGCAGGATCCCAAGTCTAGTCCTCGGCTCCTTCAGTTCTGTTCTTTAAGGCCAGGACCCCATTCCTCTCGTAGCCTTTCGGTTATCTTGGTTGCTCGTTTTAGTCTGTTCTGCTGTCGAGATGGGCCTTCTTCCCTCCTCCCCGATGGCAGGGCATTCAGGGTTTAACGGAATGTATAATGTCTCTGTGACTACTTAAATGATGATTGTGTGGCGGTGATAGGCATAGCTTGGAATCCAAAAGGACGTGTCAAGGAGATGGTCTATAGTTCTCTTGGTTTTGCTTAGAATTTACAATAATGTAGAGTATCCATAACGGTTACCGAAGCAGTTCAACATACTCGTAACTTTCCAAGAAGTTTTTTTTTTTTCATATTGTCATAGGTTTACTAGAATTAGCAAACGGTATGAAAGATGAAGGGAATATGAGTGATTATTTTGCCATTAAAATTTATTTTATTTTTTGAGACAGGGTCTCTTTGTAGTCCTTGAGCTCGCTGTGCACAGCAGGTTGGCCTTGAACTCCGATCCTTCTGCTTCTTCGGCACTGAACTTTTGTTTTTACATTTGCAGAAAGATAGTCAAGTCTTGGAATAATGAATATTGCTTGTTTCTCCACAGAATAATTTTAAAATGACGACACCGAACAAGACACCTCCTGGTGCTGATCCTAAGCAATTGGAAAGGACCGCGACAGTGAGGGAAATTGGGTCCCAAGCTGTGTGGTCACTCTCATCGTGCAAACCAGGTGAAGCAAAACAAAATCGGACGCTGTGATAATCATTACTGTTTTCCTTTATAGATGCATGGCTTTTCTTTTCTCTTCTTTCTTTTTTTCTTTCTTTTTTCTTTCTTTTTCCTTTCTCTCTCTCTCTCTCTCTCTCTCTCTCCTTTCTCTCTCTTCTTTCTTTCTCTCTCTCCCTCTTTCTTTCTCTTCCTTCCTTCCTTTCTCTCTCTCTCTCTCTCTCTCTCTCTCTCTCTCTCTCTCTCTCTCTCTTTCTTTCTTTCTTTCTTTCGAGTTTTTGAGACAGGGTTTCTCTCTGTAACCCTGGCTGTCCTAGAACTCGCTCTGTAGACCAGGCTGGCCTCAAACTCAGAGATCCGCCTATCTCTTCCTCCAGAGTGCTGACATTAGAGGCTTGAGCCACCACTGCCCAGCTGAAGAATTCTAGATGACTATAGTCATATAGTATGGAAACTGGAGTCTGGCTTCTTTTACTTAGTGTTTGTGAGTTTTGCTGTTGTAAATATTGGTAGGATGTTCCTTTTTATGTGTGATTCTGTGGGAATTCCGCTTGACATGAATGCAGCTATCTTCAATTGCTACCTATGATTGAACCCTGGTCATTTTTCTTGGCGTAATTTCAGACTTAGTCAGGGTTACTATTGCTGTGATGAAATGCCATGATCAAAAGTAAACTGGGGAGGAAAGGGTTTATTTGGCTTACATTTCTACATCTTAGTCTATTATTATTATTATTATTATTATTATTATTATTATTATTATTATTATTATTTTGTTTGTTTGACTTTAAGACAGGATTTCTTTGTGTAGTCCTAGCTGTCCTGGAACTCAATCTGTAGACCAGGCTGGTCTTGAACTCACAGAGATCTGCCTGCCGAGTGCTGGGATTAAAGGCGTGTGCCACGATGCCCCACAGGAGTCATTTTTTTAATTGAGGTTCCCTTCTCTCAGATCACTTCAGCTTCTGTTAAGCTGACATAAAACCATCCAGCACAGTTTCCTAGGTACTTCTGTAAGTAAAGAAAACCATTAGAGTAGTATGTGAAGCTTTTGATTCGGACATTGGAGTCATTATTGCTTGTAATGTGCTGCAGGTCTTTGATACTAGCTTGAAATAAACTAGGTATGTCACAGCTTGAGTGAGGTTTCTTTTGTCCTGTTATTTGACATCCTTCTTTGACTTGAATTGTGGGGACCTCTCTATCTTATTTTTTGTATATAATGCTTTTTGTATATAATCCACCAACAAATTGTGTCTTGGGTCTGTCTGCTTCTTGTTCTCCTGGTGCCTTGTGGCTGTGTTCTGTATACAGGACTAGATTTGTTCATTACAGCTTCAGATACTTAGCTGAAAAATCATAAGGAAACCTGAACCAAATTGGCAGACTAAACTGAGTTGAATTCTTGTCCCATAGATATTCAAAAGTTAATTCATAGTTGGCTTTTTAAGCTGGTAGGTTTGGGGTAATTTTGGATTAACTAAGACGAGGTGGCTCTCAATTTTGAGTGATTACAAAGAAAGCTAGTAACTGTTCATGTAGAACTTTGTGTGTCGATGTATGTTTTCATTTTGGGAGAATAAATCTTTAGGTATAGGATTGCTGAATTATATTGTTTTTATTTCTACGACTCCAATCTATATCTTCTGTTTCTATTTCTTGACTTGTGTTAACAATAACATTTTGCTATTCTATTACACATACTTAACACCTTTTGTACTTTCTGTACCTGATGTGGTAGAGCCTAAAATTCCTCTGATGTTGATTTTTTAAACCCTTTTTGAAGTTTCTTCTTTCTTTATCTTCTTCCTCCTCCTCCTTCCCCTCCTCCCCTTCTTCTTTTTTTCTCATTGCATTGCATTACATTACACATGTCCCACGTTGCATGTGTGGAGGTCAGAGGACAGCTTGCAGGAGTTGGTTCTTCTTCTATTATGTGGGTCTGGGAATAGAGTTGAGGTCAGCAGGCTTGGTGGGAAGATGCTTTACGGCAGGACCCACCTTGCTAGCCCTCCTCTAATATTACCTTTGGGTTTCCCTAGAAACTCCTTTAAAAAAGATGTATTTTTATTTGTGTGTCTGTGTGTGTGTGTGTGTCCATGTACATGTGCTTGTAGGTGCCAATGGAGGCCAGAAGAAGGTTTCAGATCTCCTGAAACTGGAGTTAGAGGAGTCGTGAGCCTCCTGACATGGGTTCTGGGAACTGAGCTCAGGTCCTGGAAGAGCATCAAGTGCTCTTAACTGCCCAGCCATTTCTCCAGCCCCAAGAAACTCCTTAGTAAATGGAGTCTACACCTACAGTTCTTATGGTTTTAATCTGATAGCTGTTGTTGATGTGTGGTGAATTGGTGGGTTAGAGGTGTTCTGTAATCCTATGACTAGGTCTTAATCTTTTGTTGGACCCATGCTTGGCTCTGACTTTTCACTAGTCATTCTTGGTCCTTTCCCTCTTTATAAGACAAGAATGCTAGAGAAAGATACAGTTACATATTTCCCTTTAGTTGGGATATGCTAAATTAGCTTTCTTTGAAGTCTGACTTTTAAAAAAGGGTACAGAATACTCTTGGTATATTTCAGAATGATTACTTTTCTTTCTTTTTGCAGAAAATACTAGGAGTTTTCTCCAGATTGTAACAAGAACCAGGTAGATCTCCTAACTCATATAGTGCTCCTTAAGGTGCGGCTCTAAGAGCTTTCTCTCTCAAGCCAGGCTATGTTGTCTTGGTAGATAATGAAGTTTCCTGTTAGTTGCTGACTCTAGAAGCGCTGCTTCTCTCTAGTTTTCTGCAAAGTTCTCTCTAGGATGTCAGTTCTCTGTTGGACCTGAGAAGTGTTAATTTTTAATTTGTTCAGCATTTTCATAATTATAAAAATGGGAGTGAAATCTTTTTTTTTTAAACTCAGATGGGATTTTAAAAAGTTTTTATTTGTATGGGTGTTTTGTCTGTCTGTCTGTATGTGCACCATTTACATGCCTGGTATCCATGGAGGCCAGGAGAAGGTGTTGGGTCCCATGGGACTGGAGTTACAGGTAATTGTAAGCCATCATGTGGGTGCTGGTGATTGAACCTGGGTCTGTTTCAGCTTCTAAGCTTTTGCATATTAGACTGAAAACCACAAAGCCCTCCTTTTACATCAAAACTATTATATTTGTATCTGAGTAAGTTTCTTATAGAAAACATGTTGTTCAATCTTGCTATCTATCATTTATTTGGCATACTTAGATCACTTGGCACTCAGATACATGTAATGTATCTATTGGTGTGATTAGATTTAAATCTTACAATTTTTGTCAAGGATATCTGCATGGAGATGATATTTAAGGTATGCAGAGTATAGCTCAACCATATGTATAGACAAGACATGATTCAGTCTAAGAATTGGGAGAACTAGTCTAGAGGAGCAGATTCTAGTGAGATGGTACAGCTGAGAATAATAGGCTGAGGACAGGTTATAAACAGCTTTCTTTTTGTTGTCGTTGTTTTTCGAGACAGGGTTTCTCTCTGTAGACCAGGCTGGCCTCAAACTCACAGAGATCCACCTGCCTCTGCTTCCTGAGTGCTGGGATTAAAGGCGTGCACCACCACCTCCCGGCTTGTTTTATTTTATAGATGTGAACCATTGAAAAAGTTTAAGTAGCAGAATAAAAGAGTATTTGTTTACATTTGAGAATTGTGGAGGACACACTGAGGTGAGGCAGGAGTAGAACCTAAAAATCCAGTTAAACAAAATGTAGTAATTCAAATAAGAAGTGTGTAAGGGAAAGTCTTAATCATTTTTAAATGTTGATAGCAGTTTTTGAGAGGTATTAATACAGATTCGATTGTCTGCTAAAGGATGAAAGGTACTGTGTGGACTTGCAAAATTGTATCATTGGAAATACTAGTTTAATTTTTTTACTCAGATTAAACTTAGAATATATTTAATAGATTCAGCTT